TCCTCCCTCCCCGTCCCTTTCCCCTTTCCCCTTTTCCCCCTTCCCCGTCCCTTCCTTCCTTCGTCCCGTCCCCCTCCCCTCCCTCCCCCTCCCCCCCCCCCCCCCCCCCCCCCTCCCCTTCCCCTCCCGTCCCCTTACTTCTTCCCTCCCCTCCCTCCTTTGGCTCTCGGTCGCTGCGGTTGCAAGTGCTCGACACCCGAAGAGTAGACAGCACCTCTTTTTTTTGTGCTCTCGCCGTTTCTCACGCTTTCTCTCTGCCCTGTTACGCACTCGCAGTCGAGTTCTACCACACGCCGCCGGCCAACAGCGGCGCAGCGGCGGCGGCCGCAACGGTTGGCATCCGTATCCGGTCGTATACAGGGACACTCATTCAGATCGGACTCAAGACCAATATCGGCTCGGGCATCACTTACCAGGTCTACCGGTCGACGTCGCCGTCATCGGGCTGGTCAAAGGTGTACGACTCGGGGCTCGTCTCGTCGAGCATTTCCGGGGGCTACACCTCGCACTCGCTCACCTACTCGCTCACCTCCAACTACTACTACATCGTCCGCGCACGGTGGACGAGTACAACGCGGAACTTTTACTACGGTGACAACGTAGTGCCGTACACCAACGGTCCGACGACCTACGGCGGCATCTCCAGCTCGACGAACAACGCGGTCAACCGGATCTACGGAGTCCGCATCAAGCTTCGCTCCTGCACCCCGCTGCCCAAGCCGGCCAACGGTAACGTCAACCCAGGGACGACAACCACGTTCAGCTGCAACATGGGCTACACCCTCGCAGGATCGTCGTCGCGGACATGCCAAACAAGCGGGGTGTGGACCGGAAGCACAACGTCGTGCCCCAAGAAGGCCAACTACTGCCCGTCGCTGGCGGCGCCGTCTAATGGCGCGCGCTCGCCGTCGCCCTGCCCGCGCAAGTACCAGAACTCGTGCTCGTTCTCGTGTAATGCCGGCTACTCGCGTGGCGGCTCATCGTCGCGGACCTGCAATCTCAACACCTTTTCGTCGGGTGTGTGGTCCGGCTCGACCACGACCTGCAACCGCATCAACAGCTTTTGCCCAGCACTCTCGGCACCGTCCAACGGCGTGCTCTCGGCTGGCACCTGCTCGCGGTACGTTGGCTACTCGTGCGGCTCGGTCTCGTGCAACACCGGATACAACCGAGTTGGCCCGTCGTCGCGGACGTGCCAGACCAACGCGCGATGGTCGTCATCGGCTTGGTCGTGCGCCCTCGACACAACGTACTGCCCGGCGGTTCCTCCCGCGCCGACCAATGGGGTGTACACTTCCTCGTGCTCGGCGCGCTCGTACCTTGCCTCGTGCTCGCGTGGCTGCAACTTTGGCTACACACTCTCGGGCGCAGTGACAACGACGTGCCAGGCATCGGCGTTGTGGTCGTCGGGCACGCCGTCGTGCCTCCTCACGCCAGGCTACTGCCCATCATACCCGGTGGCGGCCAACGCAACGCGCGCACCGTGTGACGGAAAGCTCGGATCGAGTTGTGGCCCGACCCAGTGTGCACTCGGCCTGACGCTTGTCGGCGCTGCGACCCGGACCTGCACCGTCGGTTCGGCCGCAAGCGGGATCTGGTCCGGCCTTGAGCCGTTCTGCTCCTCGACGTCTGCGGCAGACTCGCTGACGACAGCAACGGCGGCAACCATCGTGGCCGGTACGCGCTGGGCCTTTGACGTCCTCCCGCGCGACGCTGGCGGCGTGCCCACCACTGCCGGCGTCGACATTGTCGACGTCGTCCTTGCCGGCACCTTTGCCGGCGAAGGCACCTCGACCGCCAACTCGACTTGGCTCCATCCCACCAAGTACGCGGTCACGTACAAGCCGCCTACCCTGGCGGGTGACCATAGCGTTGAAATCTGGCTCAACTCGTATCTGATGGGCACATACGTGCTCACCGTTGTGCCTGCTGCCGTCTCGGCACCGCACTCTGACGCCGATGGCGAGGGCATCCTGTCGGTGACTGAAGACGGCGGACTGTTCCTTCCGGGCCATGCCACGTCGTTTGTGGTCACGCCACGCGATGCGTACGGCAATAAGGTTGGCACAGCCGGAATCTCGCTTCCGGTCGGCCTCCTCCGCGACGCTCTCGGCGATCCGTGGCCTGTCTCAGCCACCATCGCCGACGCCGACACCTTTGTGGTCTCGTACATCGTGCCGGCGTCGGGGCGGTGGACGCTGTCGCTCACGCTCGACTTAGTCCCGATTGGCGCCTCGCCGTGGCTCATCACGGTCGCCATCGAGTGCCATCCCGGGACGTCGGCGTTCTCGGTCACCGGGCCGTGCGTCATCTGTCCCGAGAACACATACTCGGACCAGATCTCGCTTCGCGAGTGCCTGCCGTGCCCCGAAGCGAGCCAGGCCGGAGTCGGTGCATCGACTGTCACCAACTGTACCTGCGTGACCGGCATGTACTCGCCCGGTGGGGTGCCCGGCGTGGCGTGCATGCCGTGCCCGCTCGGCGCCAGCTGCAACGGCGGCGTTTCTAATCCGACGGCGCGCCCGGGCTTCTCGCCGGTCGATGGTTCGACCGACTCGTTTGTGCAGTGCCCGAACCCGTCTGCGTGCGCCGGTAACGGCGCGTGTAGCAGCGGCTACAAGGGCCGGCTTTGCGCCGAGTGCGACCTCGGCTTCTACCGGCTCGGCGCCGAGTGCAGACGATGCAAGACCGAGCTGACCGTTATCATGGTCGTCCTCCTCTTGGTCCTCGCCTTTGTCGGCTGCGGCGCGCTCGTCTACCTCAACGTCCAGCTCTCGGGCTCGCACATGTACGGCGCCGCCGGCGCCATGATTGGACTCTCGGCGCTGCAAATCATTGCTCTTGTCGGCTCGATCGATGTGGCCTGGTCCAAGACCGCGCGCGCCATTCTGGACGGCCTCTCGTTTGCCAACTTCAACGTCGACCTCACCTCGCCCGAGTGCTCGATGACGCTCTCGAACCCGTGGCTCTTCCGCTTCATCCTCACACTTTGCCTCCCGGTTGCCGGCGCGCTCATGCTTGCGCTTGTTGCGGCGCTTGTCCTTCTCTACGTCGTCCATCATCAGGGCAAGGCCGAGGTTGGGGTTTCGGGCGTCATCCAGGCCGCCGGCCGCTCGTACTTTCAGGTCCTCAACGTTGTCTACCTTCCGTTGATCTCAGCCACTTTTGGCGTCTTTGACTGCGTCCAAGTCGGCTCCACGGGCACATATGTCATGGCCAACGCCGCGTCGCAGCTCTGCTACACTCATTTTTACTGGGCCACCGTCTTTCCGCTCGCGGTAGTCTTCAGCATCGCATACGGGCTGGGCATTCCACTGGCGCTCGGCGGCATGCTGTGGCGGGCGCGGCGGCAGCATGACGAGATCATGTTCCATCTCAAGTACGCCTTTCTCGTCGCACGTTATCGCAGTGGCATGAAGCTGTTCGAGGTGGCGGTCCTCGTCCGCAAACTCCTTGTCGTCATCGCCCTTGTACTGTTTGGCAACGGCCGCCACGAGGCGCTGCTGGTCGTTGTAGTCCTCGCCGCAACCGCCATGCACGTCTCGCGGGCAGTCCCGTACGTCCGCTCCTCACACAACAACCTCGACACTGGCGCATTGCTTGCAACTATGTGCGTCATCATCGGCGCGCTTGCCGAACAGGGATCGGCCATGGGCGAGCTCGCCATGACCGGCGGGCTCATCGCCATACTTGTCGCTATTGTGGCATCGGTTGTCTACGACGTCGCCACCATGCGCAAGCGGCGGAACGATGAGTTCGCCGAGGGTCTCGAGTCGGCAGACCACGAGGCAGTGACCACCAAGGTCGAGTCCGAGTTTGAGATGGCGTCGTTCGGCTCGACCTCGGTGTGTGTCTACGAGGTTGGCGCCGACTCGATCACAGCCGGCGGGACAGCGACGGTCGGAATGCCTGGAGGCTCTATCGGGCCGCAGGCGTCGACGGCGGTCGTCGGGCCAGACACCTCGCTCCATTCGGCGACGCTGCAGTCGGCGACGTTTGATTCGTTTTACCAGTAGTTACGCCCGCGCTCACGCGTCGGCGGCCGTGGCCGAGCCCGAGAGAAAGGCGCGCAGCTTGTCGAGGGCGCGCCGGCGGTGTGAGATGGCGTTCTTGGCCTCCGAGTCCATCTCGGCAAAGGTCTCATCCGAGCCCTCGGGCTGGAACACCGGATCCCAACCAAAGTCTGTCGGTCCGCGCGGCGGGACGATGCTGCCTGGGCAGATGCCCTCAAAGACTACAACAGGCTCGCCCGGGCCAGCCGAGTAGGTAAACACACACCGCGCCTTGGCCGACTTGTCCTCGTACGCCATCAGTAGGTTGTTGAGCCCATCGTGGCCGAGCTTGGTCAGAAACGACTTGATGTACACACCCGGCAAACCGCCGAGAGCGTCAAACGACAGCGAGGTGTCCTCGCAGATGACCGGCCCACCCACAATGCTCGCCGCCAGCTTGCACTTTTCCGTCGCCACGTACTCGGGCTCACCCTGGTACTCGGGAACTGTTCCCCCCCCCCCCTCTGGTGGCTGGTGGCTGGTGGCTGGTGGCTGGTGGCTGGTGGCTGGTGGCTGGTGGCTGGTGGCTGGTGGCTGGTGGCTGGCGGCTGGTGGCTGGTGGCACCTGCTGCCGCACGGCCGCCCGTCGCCTGCCAGTTGCCACAGGTTGGCGCCAACCTCCCGGCCACCACCCACTCCACCCACACTCCACCACACACCCATGTCACAGCGCCCCTCCCCGCGCAAGGGTTCGCGGGTGGCAAA